CGTTATATGATCCTCATGCTGATGACTTCATTACCCAAATCTTCCAGCCAGAAAAAAATGAAAAAAAAAAAAATGAGATGCACCACTCTGACTGATGAAGTGGAAACACACTTGTTCTGCCTGTAACTGAGGCATCCAGTAGCTAAGCTGAACCAGCTGACCAAACGTACTGAAGGAAGGTTTTTATGATAGGAATAAAAAAATAAAATAAAATGATCACGGCCGTTTGAAATCACAGCAGGTGAGAGCCAAACAATGACAGTGGGCTGCACATTGCAGGGACATTAAAAATTAATATTGTGCTGGGAGCTAAAGAAAAGCACAGTACCGAGGATGTTGCATTAGCCCCCGCCAGCAGTTCACTTATGCAGCGGGAAATGAACTGGCATGGATCCTGCGTTTCTCTGGGCATCCAGTGTCTGAGAGGACGGACCTCACTGGCACCGGCTCTGGTTCTGTTTCTGGCAGGAATTCCCGGATTATCCGAGGTTGCCTTGGACACCGTGTGACCCACAAGTATAAAAATAGCTTCTTTATAATTACAAAGATGCTGCCCCACAATGTTAACTGCTCATTAAAACATAGCTCTGCTTATTGTTTCTTCTGAATGGGCCGATCACGGTGGGCTTCACCGTCACTACGCCTTCTGGAGAGAGAGGCAAAGATGGACTGGAAGAATACACAAAGACAATATGAAACAAATACTGAACTTGTCGACGTTAGCCGAGTTAGCTAGATTTTTACAGTATCCAACCGAAAAACGTGCATCATACACTGTTGGCTGCACTGTACTAAGATATGAACTTCTCACATACATCCCATCCCACGTGCGCACTCCCACACTCACACTTGCTATCATGAGCGCACTGTAAGTACGCAGATGGTGCGTTCAAACCCGTCAAGAAAATTGAGTGTAAAATGTTGGAAACTTCTCGCCTCAGTCGTAGATGTGAGTAGTAATGAAGTAACTGCAGTAAGGAGAGTAAAATTCTTTCTAAGATTACTTTATTTGCTTCTCTGTTGATTCCTTGAGGATATGTGATCACTTGATCGAACTCACACGACCACGAGAGGGAGAAAACTCAGTTTACTTACTTTATTTATCGACAGCAAATGTTAACGAGCTCTGTGAGTGACGAGCTCAGACATCCGGCCGATGTTCCAGCAACTTATTACGAAGCCTTTTAGACAACTCCTGATGCAGATAGTCAAAGCTCATCCAACTGAAGACTGTGGTAAAGACCCAGAACATGCTGGACAGATTACACAGAAGGAAAGATCAATTGTTGGGACGGCTAGTTCACTTCCTGTTTTAGCCAATCAGGCCAAAGACCATTAGAAATATCAGTGATTCAGTACGAATGAAGCAGCAGCCACTCCCCTCAAACCATTCACGCATTGTACGTAGGCAGTCCCAACTTTATGTCCTGCTGGTACAATACTTCAGCTGTCTAATGAACATTAATAAATTCTTTTCTTTTGGATTTTTAAATTAAAATTTCTCCATGTGTGTGGAGAATGTCTTTTTTTTTTTCTTTCATTGTACTTTTTGATGTGAAAATGGCCTCATTTCCTCTAAAGAGAGGGAAATTAATTACCGTCTGTCTCTTGGAGAAGCCATGACACCCTGAATTATAGCTACACTGCATTGTAATTAGAAACAATACAAGTTTGACAACTGATATGACTGTATATGAATTCTTCTTTGACAATAGGGTTTAAAATTAGCTTGTCACACAGAAAAGAGAGGGTGCTATAGTAGCACTGAAAATGCAGGAAAAATGCAGTAACAACAGGCTCTCGTGTATGATGAATATTTCAGAAATGCCATGATAAAGTCTGAGACGTTGCTTCGCTACAGCGTCCCACCCGAGGTTAGTGACAGGACTGAAAACACACAGGGACGTTGCTGTTTTATCTCTAACACGAGGATTAGAGACGTGTTTGACTCGAGGTGGCGTCGTAAATGTAAGTGTGGGCAAACTAAGATTAAATAATCCAGAATAACAGGGAACACCTGTGTGTTCTGGCACGGCACCTTTGAGTTGATACAAACATACGTTAACCAGACGTCCCAGTTTGAAGTCCTGACAAATATCACAAGTAAATCACTAAAATGTCCTGGTTTTCAACACAGTTAAAATCATAATTATAATATTAAGCAGCGTTGACACCGTGCTCACGGGTCAGGACGATGAAAAGGTCGAGGTAATCAAATGATGATTGTCACTCAAGGGATACTTCCTGTTTTCAGTAGGTGGCGCTGCGACTCTGACTTCATATCAGCATGCAGACGTCCTCAGTGTGAGACTGATCGAAGAATGTGTATTTTGAGTTACAGCAACTTCCTGTTTCATGGCAAAACTATGAAATTTAGCCGAAGTCCCAGTTTTCACATTCAGGCGACATCGAAGTCTCGAGCGTATTCTGAGCCAATTATGAGGTGGGCGTGGTCAACCTGCTCATGGCGAATCATCAGGGTTTCTGGTGTAGAAGCGGAGCAGGGAAGTAGACAGAGAGGCGGGAAACAGAAGGTCCTTGATTCACTGCTTGTTGTGTTTGTCCTACAATATGTCTGATGGTCCTCTGGAGACATTACCGTGTGCAGACAATTATTATGAGGCCAGAAGTACGAAGTGCGCTGTCCAAGAAAACGTCTCTGCAGTTCTTTCAACAGGACTATAAATCTCTCTCTCTCTCTCTCTCTCTCTCTCTCTCTCTCTCGACCATCGATACGCTCTGAATCCTCAAAAACCCAGAACTCTCCCTCGTTTTGACGATTCTTCACATACACTCAACTGCAGGTATCATAAAATCTCCGGCCTCTCACCCGCCTCTCCAATCTCTGTGCTTTCCCTTCCATGTCTATATCCACCGCGGCCTCTCTTATCCCTCTCTGATCGCCCTCTCCCCTTCCTTTCCTCCCCTCAGCCACTTGGTTAAAGCCTGTCTTGCTACAGGCTCATAAAGTTTTGTGAGCTGTCATTTTTTTTTTTAAAAAGGAGGATGAAATCACGCCTCTGGGAGACAACCTTTTGCCCGCCGGCGCTAGTAAGTAAGTTAACTTTGTTTATAAAGCACCTGCTGAAACCTGAGGTACAAGGTGCTGCACGGTGCAAACACGGAGGAAGATCACATGTAAAGAGAGACAGAAAAAAAACGATATGAAATCAATAAAAAACAATAAGAGCTAAACAGAAGGCGATCACACGTCACGGGATCCTTTAAACAATTTCAGATTCAAACAGCTTGTAGCCACAGTGAGCAGGTGGAGTTCAGACAGCTGTTACTCACATGTGGCACGTGAGCGAGAAATAGAAAATAAATATGGGCAGAAAATAAATATGAGACTCAATTTGAGTCGAACCAACCAACTGAAGGAAACACACGAACACATGACGCTAAAATATTCTAATAACAGATCAGACAATGATAAACTGCCTCCTAGACTAACAATCTTCCCTTTTTCACACACTGAGCAAATTCTTCTTTGTAAAAACAAAAGAAGAAGAAAGAAATAAAGAGAAAATAGTGGCAGCGAAGTAAAGACTTTTTAAATCCCAGCCGTAGCCATGGTGATTATAAGTCCCATCGTAGGACCCACGGTGCTGTATTGTACATAATCTGCACCGAGTTTACTTCCACAGCAGGTAATTTAAACTAAATGTTATTTCACCTTGTTCCGTTAATGCAACTGGATTGAATGAATGCTCGGGAGCGGGAATCACAGCGAGCAGATATGTGTCACTGAAAAAGGAGAATCTATTCAGTCTGTTTAACACACTTGACATCAGGCGAGTCGCGGTTCGGGGTCGTATCCGTCAGGTGCGGCACAGCGGCACGATTCGGCTGTTCCATTTAAAAAGGGGCTGAGGAATGCGTCCTTCTTTCCCTGCAGGTGGATCCTTCATGGACCGACCTACAACACCAGCATAGAGCCTGAAGATTACACTTTTAAGTGTGTGTGTGTGTGTGTGTGTGTGTGTGTGTTGGGTTGCAGCTCAGTTCAACGGCTGTTAAAACCAAGGGCCTTAAAACTGCAAGTTTTTATTTACAAACAAAAGAGTTAAAAGTGTAAATCCTCCGTGGGTCAGACCGTCTCGTTCGGGTTCGGCCTTCAGCGGCCTCTGGATCGGGACGCAGCTCGTCAGTTATTGTCCTCATCATCAACAGTCTCCACCAGCAGGAACATGAATGAGAAAACACACAGACCGTCTACAAGTGCTGGATATCAGATGCTGCTGAGCTCAGCACAGACTTGCTGGGATTGTTGCTGTAATAATCTGAAAGCGTCGACTCAGTGTTTATATTAACATTACACTGTATGTTACATGAACATTCCCATCATGCATTTGGTTCTGATTAAATCCCAAAGTCATTTAGTGAGTGATGCTCTTCTGTGCTGCGTCTCAGGTCGGACACTTCAGTCAGTACACTCACATGTAGTACACTGTGTACACTGTGTGTGTGTGTGTGTGTGTGGTGTTCTCCCAAATCAAACGCTGCTGTTGTGTTCTCACCGGCTCTCGCCCATTGCAACATGTGGACACATCTGTCGCCGGCCTGTCGGCTGCTTTGCTCGCTTGACGTGAGAACGAACGTCCTGATGCTGTCCTGTGCGGACATGGAAAGTAAGCCGCCATCGGTGCAGACGACGTGTCCTCCTTCCTAAGTCGCCATTCTCACAAGTTTGAAAATAAGCTGCTACGAAGCCAAGATGGCGACGGTTGAAGGTGAGAAGTGCCCAGCGTTTCACACTCCACGAACCGTCCAGGTACTTAGAGTGCTCTGCACGTCGCTGCACTTGTGAACACACTGATGCACTCGATGCAGCAAGTGTGAGAGTGGAGGAGCGTGGACCTGTGGACGTCTGAGAGCCTCTCACCGCGCCGCAGCTCTGCTCCCAGGATGGTTGCTCACGCTGAACTCGCAAACTTACAGGAACACAAAATACTGTGTAAATACACTTGAACATATCAGGAGCGAACGGAGGGACTCACCATGTTTATGGATGACACTGGTCCGATGCTGTTCACAAATATGTCGACGTCTATGACGGTTGGTTTGACTGTGGGGGGGAAAAGAAAAAAAAAAAGAGCAAAAATAATTACCGATCAAGACGTTTCATACCTGCTGTTTGTTAAAATCAAAGAGACAAAGTGAAGCTGGATCAATGGCACTTTATTGTACAGAGCCCTTTGAGGAGCGAGGAGCTGCTGAGGGAAGCAGTCCTCGGGGAGTTGTAGTTGTTAATCTTGATCACACATTAGTCTTCATCACACAAACAGCGGTCGTGAAAGCGTTCTCTCCAATGCAGCAATTTCACTTTCACTAACGCGCCGGGCGCCGGGCGGCAGGAAACACCACAACACGACACGCTGTTACAACTTAATGTCAGATGAAAAGATGTTGCTGACGACTCCGTGTGGAGGAGCATCAGACGAGGCTCGGAGCAATCCGCTGGCTCTTAATCCCTCCTCTCCCTGCTGGTTTTCTTATCCAGCCAGCCAATCATGAACTGAGCTCCACCTGGGACGCTACATGAATGCAATTAACTGATAAACCGGCAGCGCCTCTATCCCTGATTGGACCAAGATGAAGCGCTGTGGTGGTAACACAGCGCTTCCTCCAGATCCAGTCTTTTCTGCATAATCTGAAGGCAGGAGATAATTCTCTACGTTAAAAACACTGAGGCCTTTAGTTTTAGTTTCTCAGCTGCAGCATCAGTTCAGCTAGTGAGGAGCTAACAGGCTAAAGAACGATGAGCTGTAGTGTGTTGTCTAGTCTAGTTACGATATTAATCCAATGGTATCAAGAAATTTAATGAGAACTTAATATGAATATTATTTCACCACTGATCCATCAGGTTTCACTCAGACAGGAACTGGGACTGGTGTCGTCTTGATGTTGAACATCTTTAACAACTTAAAAGGAATAAATAAGGAATTTAAAATTATATTCAAATTAATGGACAATCATCCCAGTGTTGGGACCTGAACCAGACAGAATCTGTTACAATCAGTTTATAGTGAATTTAACTGACATTTCTTCTTCTTCTAATTCATTTATGATTATTTCCTTTTATTTCCCTATATTATTTAAACTTTTGTAAATATTCTTTTGGTAACTCAACATGTTTCCTTGTCACTCAGTTTGAATTGAGGTGATGATTCTCTATGGGTTCATGAGTGACCCACTTTCACTTTGTTGTTGTAAAGATATTGATTAGTGCCGATCTAATAATCTATAAATATCAAGTCGTACCTGCCCTCATTAATAAATTATTACTATTATAAGTTAAACAGCTCGAACTCCTGAGGCAAACATCTGGCTGCTCAGCTGCTGAATGCTGCACTGTGTTGACCGGCTGGTCGCTGTGGGTCACATCTTAAACATCACGTGTAGTCATTCTTTAAAATGTAATTAATATAATAATAATATCAATTATTAGTGCAGCTTTAAGACTAAACAGGGATCTAATGTATTTTAGGGGGTTTAATGTCATGAAATCAGTTCAGTGTGTGAATCCTCATCCTCCTGTTTGTGGGAGATGTGTATATATATATATATATATATATAAAGGAGAGAGGTGTGCCACAGTCTGCATCACCACATCAACACATACAGGTTGTGAGAATAAATGTTGTTGAGTGTAATTCTTCCTCCCAGTTCAGACAGCTTCTCTCGTGCTGGGACACCTCTGGCTTCCCCCAAACTCTCTCTCTCTAAAGCTTGAATTTTGAATCCGGCTACGAGACAGGTGTGACATACTGCTGCCATGAGCGTTCACATTAGCATAGCAAAGAGCTCCTCCATCATTTTACATTACCTGTCTTTGGAGTGTTTTGCGTCTCAGCCAATTAAATCCACAGCGAGAATTTTTTTTTTCCCACCTGACAGTGTCTATTCTGGCGTTCAGTTCACGTGCTGACAGATGGCACACTGGAGAACACTTGTGCAGAGTCCCCGCTGAGGCAGCTTTTCAAAAGCCCCGTATTCATAACCACACAACACCTGGTGAGCAAAATGAATAGATCTACTGTCGAAGCCACTGGGAATAAAACAAGGAAAAACAGCTTCAGAGATCCGATGAAATCATTCCACGACGTTTTATGATAACTCATTTGTACATCTCTGTAAATCCTGCCCTAATCAGTGGCCGTTTCATACCACATCACCACCGGATGGAAGAGGGCTGCAAACACTTCAACCACACTGCTACGAGTGAGTTAACAACTCATGTGTGTGTAAGCTGTCAAGTAGCAACGATAGCTCCAGCAGCAAGATCTTCTTTGACCTGAAGAGCAGCCACCATGACAAGAAATTAATTGGAGACAATCAACCCTGCTGGTTGGCCCTCAACACACCGCCGCTCTGCTTCCCACGCCTCTCCTCTTCTGACCTCGGGGGGGTGGGGGGGGGGTTTCATATGCAGACAGCCTGCTGGTGCAAGCCGTGCCTTAATTAATGGAGATCAATAATGGCCACAAGAATCTCAAAAGGTTTTCATCAGGTCACTCCCCAAAATTTCTCTGCTTATAATAAGGTCGTACATTGTCAGAGTTTCATTATGTAAAGAAACAGACAAAGAGAAGATACAATATTTTTGTTCCCATCGGAAAGATAAACCGCTTCATTACACTGTTTCCAAAAGAGAATATCACCAGCACTGAGGAGGTTTCATCTAATTTAGATCACAAAGTACACCACACGCTTCACTATGCAGAGATACACTGCAGCGTAACCCTGTTTCCTATGAATTGGGCTGGTTTGCACCTAATTGTACCAGTATTTATATTCAGCAGGAAGTAACGTGATGTTCTCACAGCGGAGGTCGGTGCAGAGGATGGGCGCGGACGGATTTTGATGAAATTCATGCACAGATTACGTTTAAATTGACTCTCGTTACATGTGTGATCTTCACATTGTGTCTTTTTGGATTGATACCCACTCAGAAATGATGAATGACGTCCTGTCTGGCTATATAGTTATACATAGACGACTAGGAGGAGCATCTATAGATCCACATGTTGTAAATTATGTACAGGGAAAAGGTCAGCAGGATATCCAGGTTTAAATCTGCTGTGCGGTGATGAGGCTCCTGGTCAGTGACAGTCATAGAAGCACAGTGCAAGAGACTCAGGTGAAGTGGAGTATAACTCAGAGTGCTTATTCTCTTTTCAGCTTTATTTGCCTCATATATTTTTAAAGGCTGTGCCAATAACAATGGCACCTCATGAAAAATACTGCGAAGAGAGCAAAGTCTAGAGCAGCTTTTCTCCACGTAATTATCCGCCGGATATTAGTAATTATTATCTTGGTTGCATAAAAAAAAAAGAGCATCACATTAGAATAAAAATGCTATCTAACAAAACGTGCAATTATCAGGCATCTTCCATACATTATGTATGATTTACTCTATTTATGTCACTTCTAAGTGTTTTGTCAGTCTATGTTATTTATGTAAAATCTTGTCTCCTCGGGGGTTTTAATTATAATTTTAGCAGCTAACGTTAGCACCTAACCTGTAAGTGAGACTTTTTTCTTCTGCTGCAATGCATGATGGTCTAGCTTGATCGATGTAGAGTACTGCTTCTGTTCACTACATTTTGGTTTGCCTTGCAACAATTTTGTAGAGATAAAATTTACAGTTGATTCACTATATAGCAGGAGAGTGGATGCTCACAGAGCTGCAAACATTAGCATGATAACTTGCACTTCTACCTACAGTAGTAACAAAACATTTCTGCTGAAACCAGTGAGAATATCATTAGCTAACTGAATTATTTGTGGGTTTGACAGGTTAGGTTACAAAAGGTACCCGCTGTCAGGCAGCCGGAAGGAGGAAGAAATATGAAGACCGCTGCGAATCAAGATGCTGGACAGTCTGCAAAGACTTCTGATGACATTATTCATAACTTAACTTTTATGAGAAACCCTGTTGATGATGACACTTCCGAACTAAAGGAATATAAATAATGGAGGAACAGACAGACGGTCGACAGGTGGGGAGTCTCCGCCGCTTCACCTCCTGCTGGTTTACGATGCCGGTAAATCTGAATGAATTAAACTTTAGTGCACATAGCTACTGGAAAACGAATTCAGATAAATTATGGACAATTTATCTGAGCTAACGAGGTACAGCATGTCAACACTGACAAACGTTTAAGCATTTATATCTTCGCTTTGCTGCTTCTTACTAACGTGATCAGGTCACGGTAACATGGTTAACATCACAAATCCACAATAACAATGCTGACTGAGTGTGAAGTGTGAACTACAGAAATAACTGTCGTGAAAATGAAGCGTCTAAACTGTGCGTGGTTTCTAAAGCAGTGATGTGTGGGCTCACATTATAATGTTTGGTGCAGTGGAGAATGGTGTCTTTTCGGCATGGCTACAAAACTAAAGAAAACTCTTCATTATAAGTAGTTATGTGGGGGGCTTGCCAAGCTTGCAGGGGGGCGTCCAGGTGGCAGGTGGGCAGCACTAATAGAAGTATTGACATCAATAGGACCAAGAATTAATGACTGGACTCCCAACGAGGTGTTTCATACAAAGGAGAAAATTGTCAGAGTTGCTACCTTTGTTGTAAACTGTGATCCTTGTTACTCTGGAGACCATTTACATGCACAAAAACCTACATAAGAAACTATAAAAAAAAGGAAAAACTCAGAAAAGCATAATAGGTCCCCTTTAAGCAGCATCAAATGACTTTGCAAACTGCATGTACGCCATGTGCTAGGGCTTAGAGAAAAATCAAATGTCAAAGCATTGTCAAAGAATCAGTATTCACCAAACCAACTCGTCAACAGCACGCTCATGTTGTTCTGCCACGGTAACAAAGGGACAGACTGCGCACATTTCGCGTTCACAGTGTCACAGGAAGCTCTGCCTGTGTCGGTCTTTGAAAACAGACCCTAAGGTGTGTGGGCTCTGAAAGACTAAACAGGTATTTCAGTTGTTAATTATGTCCCTTTGAAGATTTGCACCTTTGGCAATGAAGCTGCATTACATTACTTTCTTCATTATACAATGCTAATTGTGTTGGAGGCTATAATTCTCCAC